TGCCGCTCGGGGTGGGGGGTGACATACCCTCTCCAGACACAAACCCCAGTGTAGACGCAGCTATGTCGACAGAAGAGGGGTTCTAACGCCGTTCGGCAAGGAGTTGTTCCCATACTTCTGTGGGTGTGGGCTGCCTCAGCACCAGGGTGGGGCCCAGGCTGCGTAGTGTAGACGTACCTTTAATGGGCCCTACATCTTAGTTATGGAGAGTCCTTGGAGCCTGACTGTCCTTTCACTCCACTTTTACACCTTTCACCCCTCTTGTCACTGGGGCTACTCCTGCCGTGTCTTAGCTCAGACTCCAACACTTCTGAGCGCCGCAGGTTCAAAGCCTCTTGCGGTGGACTATGTTAAAGCCACGAGGGGCTTTACAGCTTGGTTTCGCAGCTGGAACTCTCACTCTGTGCTGAGAACTAGATGTCCACCCCAGAGACGGTTGCATTTCAGCAGTGAGTGAAGTGACTCCATGTGCATATAACTCGGAAAGTGCTTTGGAAGGGTCCTTGGGGCTGGGATGTGTACCACGCTAGGGCCTGAAACAACGTGCCAGGCCTGCTGGAAGCTAGCAGAATCTCAGTGCGAAGCGTCTGAGCCGCCTCTCGGGGGAGTTCTGCACTCTGGCAGCGATGGGCAGAATCAGGCCCTCACATCCGAGGGCACATCCTGAGCGGGTGTAAAACCAGAGTAAATCCACTGACTGGAAAGGAGCTACCCTGGCATTACACCAGTGAAACTGAGAGCTCAGGGAGTGATTTGTCTCTCACCAACCCCGATGTAAATCAGAAGTAACTCCACTGAAATCTGTCATGTAAACTGGTGCGAGAGCAGCATTAGGACACTGATCTCTAACCTTGCCCTTTGTAAGACAGGGACCATGTTTTCAGGGAGCAGAAAAGGATGGTTTTGGGGACAGAAGCTGAGTGCAGACAGCGGGCCAGATCTGCAGCTGGTGTAAAGTGGTGTAGCTCCGGTGACTTCACTGGATCCATGCTGGTTTCCACCAGCTGAGGATCTGGCCCAGAGGTTCCCAGCCACAGAAAGAGGGAGCCGGGGGGAGACTGTCAGTTACAAACAGTTCCTCAATGAATTGATTTTCCCTTTGAAAGCAGCGGAAGGAGCCGTGTCTCTGGGATTTAGCTCACGAGCAGTGATGGCTCAAAACTGGGTCAGTGGTTTTTCCGGGGGTGGAACGTGCTGCCTGGAGAAGGAGATTTAACCCTCGCTCCCAGCCAGGCCAGAACTGGGCCACCGATTTTATAACAGCTCCTGTGTGTCCTGGGGGCGGCACGGGGGTGAGGAGAGGCTGACGTGGCTCCCGGCACCCATCCGGGCACGAGGCTGGGGCTGAGCGGATCCATGGGGCCTTGTGCCGCCTCTCGCTTGCCCTCCCCTAGGGCTCCTCCGATTTACACCAGGGGAAGAGAGAGGAGACTCCCCTGCTGACTCCGATCGCCGGTGTCGCTCCACTGAGGCGCAGTGGGTGATCTCAGCCCAGTGTCACCAGCCCCCGCATCCCCTCCCAGTCAGCACTGGGGGGCTAACGGTCAGCTGTGCTGGGGCCGGGGGAGTCTGCGTCCATCAGGAATAGCTCCTGGGACCTACGTGGAGTTACCAGGGCTCCGGCTGACCTCTGGAAAGGCTCACCCCGCCCTGTGTGTCCGCACACCCCACCCCCAGTGAGCACCCAGCATGGCCAAGCACCGGAAGGATCCTGCTGGTGGCAGATGCTCTTCCAATCACACCATCCTCTTGCTGGGGAGGGACCCCCGGGGCACGGGGTGGTGAGGGATGCAGAAGGAGTGTGCTGTCTCTGGAGTGACAGCCCTGGCTCATAGAATCATAGACTATCCGGGTTGGAAGAGACCTCAGGAGGTCATCTAGTCCAACCCCCTGCTCAAAGCAGGACCAACCCCAACTAAACCATCCCAGCCAGGGCTTTGTCAAGCCTGACCTTAAAAACCTCTAAGGAAGGAGATTCCACCACCTCCCTAGGGAACCCATTCCAGTGCTTCACCACCCTCCTAATATCCAACCTAGACCTCCCCCATTGCAACTTGAGACCATTACTCCTTGTTCTGTCATCTGCCGCCACTGAGAACAGCCGAGCTCCATTCTCTTTGGAACCCCCCTTCAGGTAGTTGAAAGCAGCTATCAAACCCTCCCTAATTCTTCTTTTCTGCAGACTAAACAATCCCAGTTCCCTCAGCCTCTCCTCATAAGTCATGTGCTCCAGCCCCCTAATCAATTTTGTTGCCCCCGCTGGACTCTTTCCAATTTTTCCACATCCTTCTTGTAGTGTGGGGCCCAAAACGGGACACAGTACTCCAGATGAGGCCTCACCAGTGCCGAATAGAGGGGAACGATCACGTCCCTCGATCTGCTGGCAATGCCCCTACTTATACAGCCCAAAATGCCGTTAGCCTTCTTGGCAACAAGAGCACACTGTTGACTCATATCCAACTTCTCATCCACTCTAATCCCCAGGTCCTTTTCTGCAGAACTGCTGCCTAGCCACTCGGTCCCCAGCCTGTAGCGGTGCATGGGATTCTTCCGTCCTAAGTGCAGGACTCTGCACTTGTCCTTGTTGAACTTCATCAGGTTTCTTTTGGCCCAATCCTCTAATTTGTCTAGGTCCCTCTGTATCCTATCCCTACCCTCCAGCGTATCTACCACTCCTCCCAGTTTAGTGTCATCTGCAAACTTGCTGAGGGTGCAATCCATGCCATCCTCCAAATCATTAATGGCGCTGCGTCTCCCGTCTCCCTCCCTTAACCCTGCCAGCCTCCTGCTGGGTTACATGTCTCCTGGTGCCGGGGGAGGCCAGGCTCCCCCAGACAGATGCCTGATGAGCCAGCAGGGGGTGGGGCCCAGCCCATCATATGCAGCGGCTAAGAGGATGTGATGTGTCCCCAGGCGGGTGGATATGCTGTGACAGGCCCTGGGGGACCTCGGCAAGTGGAAGAGCCTGGTGCACAGAGGTTTCCGGCGGCTGGTCTCGTCCCCTCTTGCATGAGGACTTCCCCCCCCCCCCAGGGTGTTCACCGGGGACGGGTCCCAACGGCAGCTCTGTCTACGCATCACCTGCTTCCCCCAGCCCGTTCTGTGGAACTTCCAGGAGACCCCTGGCAGGTCTGACGAACGCTCTGGAATGAGACCGACCAGGGCTCTTAGACTCAGCTCTGCTGCTCAGTCACTGTTGGGCCAGTCACTGCCCCTCTCCGTGCCTCAGTTTCCCCATTTTTAAACTAGGTGCAATAAACTCTTTGTTCCCTCCCATGGCTCTCGGGGGACAGTATGAGTGCTAGACACCCCCACCCCCAAGGAGTGCACAATCTCACGGTTTCTCTTCCGGTATTTCCCCAGTGGCAGGAGTGTTACATCCTAGCCCTCAAGGGGAGCTGCGTGAGTCGGCTGCCCTTCCCTGGGATGTGGCAGGCTGACTGGCCCCCTGGCCCCCCTCATTTAAACCTCGTTTGAATGCAGTGAGGTTTCAGCCCCACATAATTAACACGGCACCTGCCTCCAAGTTCCTGTAGCGTCCGTGGGCGAGCTGGTTACACGCATTTGGCCTTACTGTTTAGATGCTGCCGCTTTAAAGGGAGTGACGGGCTAGGGCTGGGGAGGGACAGGAGCCAGGGGCCGGCAAGGCAGGAACAGGACAGCTGCATGGCTGGGTTTGGGGACAGGGTAAGAGGTGAGCTATTGACGAGCTGGGCTGGGTGAAGCCACTGCCGGCCTCTGGGAGCGGGTCACACAGGCTCCCAGTCAGGGGCAGCCCCACGCAGGGGCGTTTCCACATTGCTGCCTGGGCTGTCTTGTCGTTCTAGGATCTGGACTGTGGGCAGGGCTCAGACTGAGAGAGAACTGGGGGGATGGGGGCAGCGTTCTCGGGTCTTGTCTGTCCTGCCACTGTTTGCAGTCTGGTAGCCGTGTCTGTCCCAGGATGGGGGAGTGACAAGGTGGGTGAGGGAATAGCTGTAGCTGGGCCAAGACAGGATATTACCTCACCCCCCCCCCCACTACTTAGCTTTTAAGTGGCGCTGTTCAGCCACGGATATCAAAGCACTTTTCTCTATCCCCATTTTAGAGATGGAGAAACTGAGGCACAGAGAGGGGAAGTGACCAGCCCAAGTCACCCAGCAGGTGAGCGGTAGAGCTGGGAGCAGACCAGGGGGCTCTGGCTGTTGGACCACGCTGCCTCCTTCAAGGCTATCACTCTGACGGGTGTGGCTAGCGTTCCAACAGCCCCATCCCCCAGCCCTGCTCCTGGGAGGGTCAATGCCCAGGCACAGAGCCATGGGGGGAGACTTTGGAAAACCTGCTAGAGGCTCAGCTGCAGGGAGAGAGAACAGAACAGCTGGCATGTCCTAGGCTTGTGCTGGGTGTGCGTGTGTGGTTAGAGTGGAGGTGCTGGCCATGGGATGAGATTGCCGAGCTGTGCGTTTCCCATGCACCTAGGAGCACCTCCCCTGCACTCTAACCACTGCTGACTCTGTCTGACCTGAGTGCTTAGCCGGGGGGGAGGGATAGCTCAGTGGTTTGAGCATTGGCCTGCTTAAACCCAGGGTTGTTAGTTCAATCCTTGAGGGGGCCATTTAGGGATCCGGGGCAAAAATGTGTCAGGGGGTTGGACTAGATGACCTCCTGAGGTCCCTTCCAAACCTGAGATTCTATGATTCTAAGTTGCCTGTGGGTTGTTCCTGGGAGGAGAAGAAACTGATGATGAAGTCAGATATTTCTTGGATGCAATCCTGATTCTGTACACAGTCTGTTTCCCTGAACACAGCAGGAATCAGACAGCAAGACCCAGCTTCTTTGCTCACAACCCCAAGCCCCCTTCAGCCAGCACTTTGCCCAAAAGCTCTCCCTGTTAGCCTTTTCTCAGGGCCACACTCCCAGTGTTTCTGTGGCGGGTGCTTCTCTGCCACCTTCTTGGCTCTGCCTCTCTTTTACCCACATGCCAGCCTTCACGAAACAATACCCAGCGAAACTCCTCCCACATGGATCTGTACTTTGGGGAGCAGGCTGCTGTTGTTTCAGCTACCTGGTTCCGCAAAGGAACCAGGTTTCTTCCGTTTATCCCAGATGAAGGACAGCTTTTGCCACCCAACTGTTTCAACGAAGTTTCAACCCGTAACCCCACTTCCCCATGCTGCCATTCAAAGCCACTCCTCTCCACTGAGCAGCAGCCATGGTAATAAAACCGCGCGCCACGCCTGAGCCGCACAGCCATCTCTGCCGCGCGGCAGTGAGGGCTGTTCCCTGCACTGCCCACGTAGCGCTGGGATGGGCTGCCCATCAGGCGGTTGGATGGGGGCTGCTCCCCTGGAGCCAACCCCCCAGCTTTGCGGGGGCGTGGAGGCAGATGGAGACAGGGAGCCCATGCAGGGGCCTGGCCGCTGTGTGTTAAAGACAGAGGCAGCACGCAGGGCAGGGGAGTGGAGGGCTCAGGGAATGGCTGCAGCGTGACTCAGCAGTGGAGAGGCTGTGTTGGCCTGTCTCCCCGCGAAGCAGAGGCTGCAGAGCCATCTGCCCAGACAGCTGAGCCCTCCTGGCTGGGCCCAGCCGTGAGCTTCTCTCATTGCACAAGCCGCTGAGGACTGTATCCTCCTTGGGCTTCCTCCAGCTGAGTTGCTGGCCTCCACCAGATATGAGAGGCCCATGTTCCAATCCCAGTTTCTTCAACCTGGGTCCCTGCCCCCTCCAGGGAGTGCCCTTGCTACCAAGTTATTCTGGGGTCTCTCTTCATTTCGGTCCAGGACCTGCACAAAGTCTCATCAAACCCAGCCCTTTCCCATGACCAGTTTTGTCCATTTCATCAAGACACAGCCAACCAGCGCTGCGGCAGGGCACAGAAAAGGAAATCACTAGCTAAACAGTGACATGTGCCGCAGTAGCATCCAGCGAGACACTGGCGTTTCCTGAACCAGCAATGTGCAGGGGAATCTGTTTCCTTTGATCTCGAGAGTAATGCCACGTTAAAACCGGGCCTTTATTTAACGAGACAAAGGCTGCTTGTGTAGCACCAATTCTGTCAGTTTAGGATTTGGAGTTGTCTGGCCATTATTGGGGCGGGTGATGGGGGGGGGGGGGGCGCACTCGTGCTGTACTTTATGGGGGAGTACAGTACTGTCTCGTGGCTAGAGCGTTGATCTGGGAGCTAAGTCTGAGTTCTATTCCTCGCTCTGTCTGCCTACTCTTGGGTGAGTCACTTGCCTCTGGCTCCTCTCCCATCCTTTGCTTATCTCATCTGTTTAGACTGTAAAGCCTTTGGGGCAGGGATGGTCTCTTAGTTGGTCTTTGTACAGCACCTAGCACGGTGGAGCCTCTAGGCCCTGCCCCCTCATAACAATACCTTCGCTAAGTGACCTGTGTAACGGGTGCAAGAACACTCACCTATTTCACAGAGATTTTGCAAAATTTAAGTAGCATCTCTTAAGTGCTTTGCTATCTGTGGCACTGTTCCAGAGAGAGGAGGAGGAATTCCTGACCCTGTCTATCCAGTAGAGAGCAGTGGTCCTCATGTATCCTAGCCAGCAAGATGCAAGAATAGGTCTCATGACAAGGTCACAGCTTCCACTCAGTGCAGGCCTAGTGAGAAAGACACCTGACGCTCCTCCCAGGACTCTGCTGCTGTTCTCATGCAATGAGAACCACCCAAAGCACTGCTGAGAGCCCTCCAGCCCCGCCCTGTGTCCAGAGCGCAGCACAACACAGATTTGAAGACCCCGGGGTTTTCCACCATGCTGTTTCTCTGGGGCCAGCAGACAGCGCTTCTAAGGTCAAGTTGCTCGTGTCAAGCATTCGTGACTGCATAGCTGGACACAAAGGCAGTGGGGATTGGGGAGCGCCTGTGAGTGGCCCGAGGCTGAGAGGGGGGCCAAGACACAAAGGCCAGCACTTTTCCCAGAGGTGTTTGCTAGCAGGGAGGTGCTCCTTGTCTCAGTGGCATTTTGAGATAGGGATGGGGCCCCGAGTCTGGATCCAGGCCCGACTTCCAGGGGGCTCGGATCCAGGGAGTGGTTACACCCGGGACACAGATCCAGACCCAGTCATCCCCACCTGTCAGGGTTGTAGGACAAGGGGTGACTGACTGCACCCCAAAAATCTCAAAGACACAGGAGCGTCCTGACCTGGGCCCAAGCTGCCAGCCCGCATTGCAATGGGCACTAGCACAGCCGGAGCTGGGGGGAGCAAGGGGCCCCTGGTTTCCTGCAGAGAGGGGATTCTCCAGCGGGTCTTGGCCTGTCTCGCTAGGAGCGGGGACAAGATGGGGCCATTTGCACTTCCCAGGGGGGTCTCTGGGCCTGGAGGCTAAAACGTTTTATTCTTTCTTTGCAGTTAAAAAAGCCAAGTTTGACGGGGCCCAAGGTAAGTCGCTCCCGCTACCCCTGGTCACATGGGCGATGTGGGTGCTTGGGGCAGGAGCCTCTCCCCAGCCCCACTGCAGGAGGGGGCCGGGTTTCCCACAGCGGGTTAGTGTGGGTCTGACTTTAAAAAGCCGAGTGGACTGCTGAGACGAAGGGTCATTGAGGGCCCCTGGGTGAGCAGCTTGGGTTTGCTGGGGAGAAAGCACAGAGGGAGTAGGCAAGAGGAGGCCTGAGGCGAGGCGCCTGTACCCCCGAGCTAGGCCTTGTTCTAAGGACTCATGGTGGGGCCTGTCCCAGCTTCCCCAGGGTTTACCAAAAAGGATCAGCAGATACAAAGGACAAAATAGAGAGGAAGTGGGGTCCAGTGGTTAGAGCTGGGGAGTTGGTGTCAGGACTCCTGGTTCTATCCCTGGCTTTGGGAGGGGAGGGGAGTCTAGACACACGTGGGTCACACACTGCACCCACGTCTACAAGCATACTATACATACCCATACTGTGTGCACACATTCACATACACACACCTGTCACTGGCTTCCTTTCAGTGACGCCTGGGCAGGAGGGCTCTTTTCACCCCATCTGTGAAGAGCTGGGGGGCACCCCGCTCCGCTCCCGCACCTGGGATGGGAAGGCCCGGCAGCTGTAGAGCAGGCGTGCAGAGGGGCTTTGTTCTCTAGCTCCCCTCCTGGGGGCAGGAACCATCCAGAGCTGACGGAGTTTGGCCCCCTTGTCCCTTGTTTGCACAGAGCTCCAAGCATCAGGGGAGCTGAGCCGGCACCAGGCACACCCCCTGCTGGAGAGCGGAGCTGCGTGCAATCCCCCTCTGCCCCTGCCTCTACCAGCACTGGCCTGGGAGGGCGGGAGGTGTCCCATGCACACAGCCAGGGGTCAAGGTGGGGAGCGCCGAGTGAGGCCCTGGGGGGTGGGGGTAGGGGTCGAGGGGGGGAGCCAGCCAGCCAGGCGGCCAGAAGCAGTTATAATGAAACACCCAGCGGGGTGAGCAACGCCCCAGGTCCAGGGTGGGGGGAGGGTGCTGAGCTGGAGGAGAGGAGCCAAGCCCCTCTCGGTCTAGTCACTCCTGGACACTCAGCACCTCTGCAGTCCCCCCTCCCCCCCCCCGCACCTCTGCAATGCCCCCCACCCAACCACCAGCTGCTGCTGCCAACTCTTCCCAGGGAGAGTGAAACACAGGCCAGGCGGGCTGGGTGGGTGGACTGAGGGGCATTAGCAGAGCCGGGGGGGGGGGGGCAGATCCCAGGGCTGGGCTAGCAGGGGGCTGCGGGTCAGGAGTGAGGGGCATTAGCAGAGCTGTATAGGACAGTCGGGTCAGGATATGCAGCATTAACAATGCTGCACGTGGGCTGAAGCAGCGTCGGGAGCTGACCATGCCCCTAGCTGGTGACAAACTCTGCTGAAAGTTCTTGCGTGGGACAGTCCCAGGGCTGAGATGGTCGGGGGGGGGGGGGGGGGGGCTGGTGCTGCAGGGGTGGGGGCTGGGCCGGTCCTGGGGCGGAGATGGTTGGGGAGTCCAGGGCAGGGTCGGTGCTGGAGCTGGGCTCAGGGAGGGTGTGACAGGGTTGGGACTCACCACCGCAGCACCTCCTACTGGTTGTCTCTGGGAATTAGCTCAGTCCAGTGGAGCGCCCCCTCTCGGTGGTATCCCGCCCTTTGTCTTGCCCTCGGTTGGCTTCTGAGCCCACATCGCTCACCAACTCGCAGCGTCCTCTTCAGGACCACTGCCCTCCGGCAGTGCCCCTTAGTCCATCCACACCCCCTTCCAGGGGAGGGGGGTGTCAATCAGCAGTCTCTATGCTCCAGCCACCGTGCTCAACCACACACCCCAAAGTCTAATCCCTCCTGTCAGGCATCTGGCGTGGTCCGTAATGGCCGCTCCCTACGGCCAATGGCTGGGTGTACTGTAAGGGGGCGGATCCCGGCCCAGGGACCCTCTGGCAACAGCCTCACTGTCCTTCTCTCCCCTCCATCTGCCTACTTCCCTGGGCCACTTCCCCTACGGCCCCTCGCACCCACAAGGCCCTTCCCTTCAGGGCCTGCAGCCTGGCAGGCCTCAGACTAGAGCTCCACTCTGCTTCCCTGAGCCGAGCCTGCCCAGCACTGTGCTGTCCTGGGTGCTGGTCTCCTGCTCTGGAGACAGATAGACCTTCCCCTGTCAAAGGCCTGGGACAGACTCCCTGCTCCCTTCCTGAGCAGCCTTTTTATAGGGCTGAGCCTGGCCCTGATTGGCTGCCTCCAGTCTGGCCCCTGATTGGCTCCCAATAAGCCCTTCTCTGATTGGCTACCAGTCTACGCAGGCCCACTGACCTGCTGCAGCCTAAATTCTCCAGGAGTGGGGCAGTTGCCCCACTACCAGGGCCGGCTCCAGGGTTTTGGCCGCCCCAAGCAGCCACACAAACAAAAAGCCGCGATCGTGATCTGCGGCGGCAATTCGGCGGGAGGTCCTTCGCTCCGAGCAGGCATGAGGGACCGTCCGCCGAATTGCCGCCGAACAGCTGGACGTGCTGCCCCTCTCCGAAGTGGCCGCCCCAAGCACCTGCTTGGTAAGCTGGTGCCTGGAGCTGGCCCTGCCCACTACAGAGGGCAATGCAGGGAGAACCTCCCTTGTGTTGGCTGGAGACGCTGCATGGGGACAGGGAGGCCCCTGGGCTGATGGGAAGAGCCAGCGGGTGGCCTTTGAGACTGGGGGTGGGGAGCACAAGGTTGTCTGACCCGCCCAGGGGGCTCCCGGTGCCCCTGACCCAGGACGGGGCTGATCCAGGCCCAGAGCTCCACCCTCTGCTCCCTTCCCTGCAGAGAAGTTCAACACCTACGTGACGCTGAAGGTGCAGAATGTCAAGAGCACGACCATCGCAGTGCGGGGGAACCTGCCCTGCTGGGAGCAGGACTTCATGTTGTGAGTACTCCCTCAGGTGTGGGGGGGCAGGGACCTCCCGCTCTTGGGGGGCTGGTGTCAGAACATAAGAACGGCCAGACTGGGTCAGACCAAAGGTCCATCAAGCCCAGTATCCTGTCCACCGACAGTGGCCAACACCAGGTGCCCCAGAGGGAATGAACAGAACAGGTAATCATCAAGTGATCCATCCTGTCGCCCATTCCCAGCTTCTGGCAAACAGAGGCTAGGGACACCATCCCTGCCCGTCCTGGGTAATAGCCATTGATGGACCTGTCCTCCATGAATCTATCTAGCTCCCTTTTGAACCCTGTTATAGTATTGGCTTTCACAACACCCTCTGGCAAGGAGTTCCACAGGTTGACAGAGCGTTGTGTGAAAAAATACTTTCTTGTGTTTGTTTTAAACCTGCTACCTATTAATTTCATTTGGTGGCCCCTTGTTCTTGTACACTTCTACCTCTATAGAACACTCTCCTCGGGAGCCAAAAAATTTTACCGCATTATAGGTGAAACCGCGTTATATCGAACTTCCTTTGATCTGCCAGAGTGCGCAGCCCTGCCCCCCCCTCCCCGGAGCACTGCTTTACCGCGTTATATCCGAGTTCGTGTTATATCGGGTCGCGTTATATCGGGGTATTATGAGAAGGAGTAAATAACACTTCCTTATTTACTTTCTCTATACCACTCATGATTTTATAGACCTCTATCATATGCCCCCTTAGTCACCTCTTTTCCAAGCTGAAAAGTCCCAGTCTTATTAATCTCTCCTCATACGGAAGCCGTTCTATACCCCTATCATTTTTGTTGCCCTTTTCTGAATCTTTTCCAATTCCAATATATCTCTTTTGAGATGGGGCGACCACATCTGCACACAGTATTCAAGGTATGAGCGAACCATGGATTTATATAAAGGCAATCTGATATTTTCTGTCTTATTATCTATCCCTTTCTTAATGATTCCCAACATTCTGTTCGCTTTTTTGACTGCCACTGCACATTGAGTGGATGATTTCAGAGAACTCTCCACAATGACTCCAAGATCTCTTTCCTGAGTGGTAACAGCTAATTTAGACCCCATCATTGTATACGTATAGTTAGGATTATGTTTTCCAATGTGCATTAATTTGCATTTATCAACCTGGAATTTCATCTGCCATTTTATTGCCCAGTCACCCAGTTTTGTGAGATCCTTTTGTAGCTCTTTGCAGTCTGCCTGAGACTTATCTATCTTTAGTAGTTTTGTATCATCTGCAAATTTTGCCACCACACTGTTTACCCCTTTTTCCAGATCGTTTATGAATATGTTAAATAGGACTGGGCCCAGTACAGATCCCTGGGGGACACCACTATTTACCTCTCCATTCTGAAAACTGACCATTTATTCCTATCCTTTGTTTCCTATCTTTTAACCAGTTACCAATCCATGAGAGAACCTTCCCTCTTATCCCATGACTGCTTACTTTGCTTAAGAGCCTTTGGTGAGGGACCTTGTCAAAAGCTTTCTGAAAATCTAAATACGTTATATCCACTGGATTGCCTTTGTCCACATGCTTGTTGACCGCCTCAAAGAATTCTAGAATTCTAGTAGATTGGTGAGGCATGATTTCCCTTTACAAAAACCATGTTGACTCTTCCCCAACAATTTATGTTCATCTATGTGTCTGACAACTTTGTTCTTTACGATAGTTTCAACCAATTTGCCCGGTACTGAAGTGCGGCTTACTGGCCTGTAGTTGCCAGGGTCATCTCTGGAGCCATTTTAAAAATTGGCGTCACATTAGCTATCCTCCAGTCATTTGGTACAGAAGCTGATTGGAATGATAGGTTACAGATGACAGTTAGTAGTCCTGCAATTTCACATTTGAGTTCCTTCAGCACTCTTGGGTGAATACCATCAGGTCCTGGAGACTTATTACTGTTTAGTTTATCAATTTGTTCCAAAACCTCCTCTAATGACACCTCAATTTGGGACAGTTCCTCAGATCTGTCACCCAAAAAGAATGGCTCAGGTTTGGGAATCTCCCTCACATCCTCAACAGTGAAGACCGATGCAAAGAATTCATTTAATTTCTCCGCAATGGCCTTATCGTCTTTGATGGCTCCTTTAGCATCTCGATCGTCCAGTGGCCCCACTGGTTGTTTAGCAGGCTTCCTGCTTCTGATGTATTTTAAAAAATGTTGCTATTACTTTTGGAGTCTTTGGCTAGCTGATCTTCAAATTCATTTTTGGTCTTTCTAATTAGGTTTTTACATTTCATTTGCCAGAGTTTATGCTCCTTTCTATTTTCCTCACTAGGATTTAACTTCCACTTTTTAAAGGATGCCTTTTTGTCTCTCACTGCTTCTTTTACTTTGTTGTTTAACCACAGTGGCACTTTTTTGGTTCTCTTACTATGTTTTTAATTTGGGGGATACATTTAAGTTGCTCCTCTGTTATGGTGTCTTTAAAAAGTTTCCACGCAGTTTGCAGGGATTTCACTTTTGGTGCTGAACCTTTTAATTTCTGTTTCACTAACCTCTTCATTTTTGTGTAGTTCCCCTTTCTGAAATTAAATGCTACAGTGTCGGGCCGCTGTGGTGTTTTCCCTGCCACAGGGATGTTAAATTTAATTACATTATGGTCACTATTACCAAGCGGTCCAGCTATATTCACCTCTTGGACCAGATCCTGTGCTGCACTTAGGACTAAATCAAGAATTGCCTCTCCCCTTGTGGGTTCCAGGACTAGCTGCTCCAAGACCAGTATTTAAGGTGTCAAGAAACTTTATCTCTGTATCCTGTCCTGAGGTGACTGTACCCAGTCAATATGGGGAGAATTGAAACCCCCCATTATTATTATTGAGTTTTTTATTTTAATAGCCTCTCTAATCTCCCTGAGCATTTCAGAGTCACTAACACCATCCTGGTCAGGTGGTCGGTAATACATTCCTACTGCTATATTCTTATTTTCCAAGCATGGAATTACTATCCATAGAGATTCTATAGTACAATGTAGTTCATTTAAGATTTTTACTTCATTTGATTCTACGCTTTCTTTCACATATAGTGCCACTCCCCCACCAGCACGACCTGTTCTGTCCTTCCGATATATTTTGTACCCTGGTATTACTGTGTCCCATTGATTATCCTCGTTCCACCAGGTTTCTGTGATGCCTATTATATCAATATCCTCATTTAATACAAGGCACTCTAGTTCACCCATCTTATTATTTAGACTTCTAGCATTGGTATATAAGCACTTTAAAAACTTGTCATTTTTTGGCTGTCCCCTATTGCATGACGTAATTGCATAAACGATAAAACCCACGTGCCACACAAGCTCCACAAATCCTCAAAATCAGGCGCACCCCAGATAAACCGGGACGTCGGGGGCTCGGGTGCAGGATCCCCGGAGCTAGCAGCAGGAACTGAGATGGTCTGTTGCCCTTAGCTCTTCTCCCTGCCCTTATCTCTAGGGGTCACTGATCCGGTACCTGCCCCATGGCCTGGGGCAGCTGGACGCTGAGTCTCCTGCAACGCCAAGTCAGGCACCAGTGGTTTGAGCATTGGCCTGCTAAACCCAGGGTTGTGAGTTCAATCCTTGAGGGGGCCATTTAGGGATCTGGGGCAAAAATCTGTCTGGGGATTGGTCCTGCTTTGAGCAGGGGGTTGGACTAGATGATCTCCAGAGGTCCCTTCCAACCCTGATATTCTATGATTCTATACCTCTCCCATCCCCTCTGTCAAGGCCTTGCCCCCATCTCCCTCCTAGAGATGCTACTATGGGAGGCGGCTGTGGCACCAGGAGTGTCTCAGGTCACCCCGCCTTCGATGGGTGGCCCGGAGAAACTCCCGGCCACTCAGCAGCCCCCCGGCCATGGAGCCTGCAATCGGGTGGAGGGGAAGGGGAGGTGTCTCTTGGCGCACCCATGGCCGTTGGCCCTGCCAGACCCCCAGGTGGGTGCCGGATCCCTGCTCTCTGCCTGGGCACGATGCCCAAGGCACTCGACACACCGGTGGAGAGTTAGAGAGAGCAGGCTGCCAGCTGAGCCACTGCAGTCTGCAGAGGGGGCCTGGGGAACCGGAGCAGGGTGAGACCAGAATAATTCCCTGCCCGTCAGCAGTGTAAACACCTGCCGTGTCACAGAGAGAGGGGCACTGGGCAGGCCTGGAGGCCACAGCTAGGCCCAGAGCCTGGGGCTGCTAGGAACATGGCGGCTGTTAACCCCCAAGCCGAGGCAGACCCTGGAGGGATCCCAGCAGCAAGGGACCGGGCTGCTCCACGTGGCAGGAAAATGCCTCTCCCCTTTGCTCCCTCATTTTGCATCCATCTGCTTAAAGCGTCAGACACGAGCGCGGCCCAGACTGGGGCCGGGGGGCTGCAAGCTGGGCCACTGCAGACACAGCCGGGACTCAGCAAAGGGCCCTAATTACCGGCACTCGAATGACGCTCCCATCTCAGGCCAAACACTCCCGCAGGAGATTAAAGTGACAAGGGTCAAACCGTTGGCGGCTCCAGATTCATCCTTGCTCGGAAGCGGGATCCTCCGACGGAGGGAGACTCTGACTTCTACGCAGCGAAGTGGGAGGAGATTCGGAAGCACGTTGGCCTGTGTTAAACTCACGCCTCGGATGCTGGGAAATTCAAACATTTTTGTAGGACCTACCAAAGAAAAAAGTGCCCCCCCCCCCCACAGTTAACTCACAGACACAATTTTCAGAGCTGTGCTGTGTCTAGATGACAAGTCACAGTTAGTGCAATTTTGGGAGCTGGCGCTGTCTACCTAACCTCCCTCTGCCGTGTTCCAGTGCTGGCTCAGGGGGACTCCCAGCTCCCCCAGTCCCAACCTCTCCCAGCAGGGGGCGCTGTGGGGAGTGGGGCAAGAGCACTGACTCCCAGCCCTGTGGCATGAGCTCACTCATATGTGGGGCCCGATGGGGACGGGGGGCCAGCCTGCCCAGAGTCGTGGGAGAGGCAGCGAGCCAGACGAGGCCAGCGCTGATGGGCACGTGGTCGCTTTGCTTCCCTTGCAGTGAGATTAACCGGCTGGACCTGGGGCTGACGGTGGAGGTGTGGAACAAGGGGCTGATCTGGGACACCATGGTGGGGACGGTGTGGATCCCCCTGCAGACCATCCGGCAGTCCAACGAGGTAGGCACGGGGCGCTCTCCCCAGCAGGGCCCAGACAGCAGCCACTCCCGGACCTTCCTGGCTCTCTGCCCTTCGGAGCCCGGACTGGGCATCGCCACCTGCCGGCCTTCTGGGGGTGGAGCGAGGGGAGGGTCTGTGTCTGCGGGGAGAAGGACCAGTGCCCTGGCAGAGCCACCCGTCCTCTGGACCCCCAAGTCCCCTTCCTGTGCCAAGGCTCAGCCTCCTCCTAACCCCCAGGGCACATCCTGGCAGAGCCAGGCGGGTGATGCCTGGAGACAGGCGGGGAAGGGCCTGCTTGGGGGTGGGGAGGGTCAGCCTGGGGGATTTGGGGTTCTCTTCCAGCAGCTGGGAGGAAAGCAAGGCTGGGGGGGAGGAGGAGCCTCCAGGGTGCAAAGGGTTAATGATGAGCCTGTGTACCAAGCCCTTGTGCCCCCTCCGGCGGTCGGCGCTCGAAGGCGCCATGGGGCAGGCCGGGGATTTAGCCTCCCTGCCCTGGCACTGCTCCTGCGGGCAGGGAGGAGCTCCATGACCTGGCACTGCCGCAAATCGTCCTCTCCTGAAGGGGAGCTCGAGGCAGGGGGCGGGTGGAGGGGATGTGGCTGTCCAGACAGCACAGCTCTTCGCTATGGCTGCTAGCAGGATGGGGAGCAGGGATCTGGGACTCAGGACTCCTGGGTTCCATTCCTGGCTCAGGAAATCGCTGCCCCCCTTGTGCCTCAGTTTCCCCCCCCCCCCCAGTAACAGACCCTCCCCCGGCACACAGAGCTGTGAGGCTTAGCCCCATGAAAGGGCCAGAGCAGGGCAGCATGGCTGGGTTATTTGCCAGGCTGGGAGAATCTAAGCAGGGCTTCGTTCCCCGGCGTCTGTCCTGACCCCCCCAGTTCTCTCCCCTAGGAGGGCCCTGGGGAATGGCTCACCCTCGACTCCCAGGTCATCATGACTGACAACGAGATCTCTGGCACCAAGGACCCCACCTTCCACCGCATCCTGCTGGACACCCGCTTCGAGTTACCGCTCGGTACAGTACCCTCCCCAGGGCCAGGGGGCGAGAAGGGCTCCTGGCCTGTGCCCCCATCCCCGTCGTGTGCCCGGGGTTCTCCCTCCTTGGGGATATTTCCCTCCTCACACCCCAGATGTGTAGATGAGGGGGGATTGACAGAGATGGGGGCCCCAAAACTGGAAACGCAATAGGGTTGTGGTTCAGGATTGAGGGGCACTGGCAGAGCTGTGGGGCGAGCCCAGGGCTGGGATAGCAGGGGGCTGCGGGTCGGGACTGAGGGGCGTCATCACAGTCCTTTCCTGGATCCCCTCCCTCACGCCATGTGCCCGACCTACCGCTCCGCCCCTCCACCCTCCTTTCCCTTCCGGTGAGGAGCCGATCAGGGTGTGGGGCTCCCCAACTCCACTCCCACCCCCCAGGCTGGAGCTGGGAGCCCTGGCTCCTGCTCACCTCTGGCCCAGCCCTGCCACCCCCCTTCCCTCCCTGCCCCACAGATCCATTCCCCACCCCCCACCCCCAGCACAGGCTGCCTCTCCTTGCCATCCTCTGCTCAGCTGCAGGCCCAGCCAGAGGCTGGCGCCATGACCCAGAGCTGGGCCCCCATGTGCAGGGCCCCAGGGGCTGTGTTGGGAGGGAGGGGCCGGGCCGCGGAGACCCCACGGGCTGCTGGCAAGGGGGCCTCTCTGCTTTCAGACATCCCCGAGGAGGAGGCCAGGTACTGGGCGAAGAAGCTGGAGCAGCTGAATGCTATGAAGGATCAGGATGATGTAAGTCAGCCCTGGGGCCTGGCACCCCCTGCCGGCCCTGATCCCCTGTGTGAGTTCACAGCTCCCCCCCATCCCCCGGCGCTGCTGGGTTGGGTGCATTCAGGTGGTGCCTGGCTGGGCGAGCGTGCCAGGGCCTCACTGGCAGAGACAGGACCATGGGGACGTCCCATGGGGATCTGCACTGAGTGCCCTGGGAGTCTATCATCACCCCCCTGAAGGGCTGCGGGGCCGGGGGGAGGGGGCCGGGCCGGAGACTGCCTGGCCGGGATGCCTGTGACCACCCCTCTGTTCTCTTCCCCAGTACGAGTTCCAGGAGGAGCAGGACAAACCGCTCCCCGTGCCCGGCTCCCAGTGCTGTAAGTACCGATCACCTCCAGCATCAAGCCCCCCACTCCTCTGGGCCCGTGACCCTCCAGCTCCCGTAGAGCTGGGTCACAGGTGCCTCTCGGGCCGGACCCCGGGGGGGCTGGATGGTGCCTGGACGGAGCTGGTGGGGTGGGAGGAGTTTGTTTGACCCCCCAGGTGAGGTGGGGTGGGGATGATCATAGGGCCCGTGTCTCCCTTGCCCCCCAACTCACAGTTCCTGCCCCGTTCCTGTGCACGGCCCACACCACCCCGATTAGCATGGGGACGACGCCTCTAGCCCTCACCCTGCAGGGTTCCCAGCACGTCGCCCCCTCTGGGTCAGCAGCTGCAGCTTGGCAGCGTTCCTGCAAGGGGGCGACAGCTGGGGAGGGGTCTGGGCTGACCACACGCCCCAGCCTGGGAAGCAGGGACTCGGCCTGGGTCGCTGGAGACGTGATCCCCCTCCTCTGAAGTCCTTGGCCCCCTTCCCTCTCTCCTTCCCCCTGCTCTGTCTCCCTCCCCTCCTCTGCTGTGTGTTCGCTCTCCTCCGCTCCAGTCCTCTGCCTTGGCCTGGGAAGCTTTGGAGCAGGGTCGGTTCGGCTCAGCCCACGTCTGGGAGGCAGGTTGCCTGAACGGGGTGGGGGGAGCAGGAAGGGCGGGGAGCGGTTGGGATGGGGACTCAGCACTGGCTTAGGGAGAAGGGTCGGATCTGGCCAAGTAGCACCGAGCCTGGAGGAAGCTGGGGCCGGGTGGCCCTGCTGAGGTGGGGAAGGAACTGAGGCATCAGGGCCAGAGCATTTGGGGTAGGGAGGTGCCCACGTGAAGGCAGAGTTGGGGCTGGATCCTCCCCAGATCTCTTGGCCTTGCAGTGAGAGGTGGCCCCACCCAGCCCGGCTGGCAGCAGAGTCACTGGGTGACCCTGAACCAGTTACTCCCCCCCCCCCCCCCCCCCGCACACACTCCGTGCCTCGGTTTTCCCCTCTGCGACATGGGGGCTCGTCACACCCACCTCAAAGGGCTGTTGCGTTGGGGCAAATTGGTCAGTGGGCCTAGTTCTCTCCTGCCCTAAGGCCGGTGAGGTCAGTGGGGTTACCCCAGGGCCGACTCTGTCCCATTAGTTCGGAGCCAGGTGTGACGTCCCTCAGCGTGACCTCTGGCCTCCTGCGTTTGCTCCCTCCTGCTGCCCCAGGCTTTCTTCCCCTGGCTCGCTGTGGCGCAGAGGCCGAGGAGCTGCGTTGGCAGCTGCGGGCTCCGGCCTAACGGCTCGTGGGTCTTTTTGGCGCGCTCGTGTTGGCGAATTCGAAGAACGACGACCAGCCGAGATCTGGCCAGGGAACGGGTCCCCCAGGCCCTGGATGTGGAGATGGCGGCTTCAGGGCCCAGTGCCAGTCTCTCTCCTCCCGGGGAGGGGGGACAGAAAAAGGGGCTCGGGATGCCCGGAGCAGCCCCACAGCGTAACACCCCGGCCCCTCCCATCCCCCATCCGGGGCGAGAAGGAGGCGACCCAGCTCCACCAGAATTTAAGAGCCGCTCCCCCTCCCTATGCTCTTTCTCCCAGCCTGCCCCGAGCGTTTGGATCTGCCTCTCACAGACCCCCGCTCTTCCCCCAGCCCCCTGCCCCACGGATCCTTGCTCACCCCATGTCCTGCCCGGTCTTGCAGCCTGCCGGGGCCTGTCCGGAACATACCCTTGCAGCGCGCCTGATCCGACCTCTCCGAGCCGACGGCAAAGAGCCCGGGCCGCAGAGCTCAGCTCGGGGTCTGAGTTTCCCCAGCGCTTGGTGGGGGCCGGGGCTGGAGCCAGAGCCCCGACTCCGCCCGGCACAGTGCCGGAGTCTGAGCATCGGGGCTGCGGGGGGAAGCTGGGGGTCTGCTTTGGGCCGGGCTCTAAAAGGGGCTTTGTTCTCCCACCCGGGCTCTAACACCTACTCCCACAGCCGTGTCCGTCTTATTGTCTCTGCCCCTTTTCTTTATAGGCAACTGGAATTATTTTGGCTGGGGAGAGCAGCAGAGTAAGTATCCGATCGCCTTCTCACCCAGAACGCAGGTGGCACCCCCCTTTCCTACCCGCTGGCCTCCCAAAGGGCTGCCCACCCCCCAACCAGGGGGAGGCCCATTCTTCCTCTAGCCCCCTAAGGCCCGGTGGCTAACACAGAAGAGCCGTGCAGGGGAGCAGAGGGGTCCGGGTGGCTAGCGGGCAATGCAGGGGGGCCTGGGACTAGCCTCACCTCTGTTTTGGCCCGGCCTGGCTTTCGTCTTTTCATGCAGATGGCACGTCTCCCCCGTGCTCCTGGAGAGAGGGGCACAGGCCCGGCTACAGATGCTTTTTGGGGTGGGTGGATGGACCGTCCCCGGGGCGGGGAGGGATGGAGCAGTATGCAGACGGCATTGCAATCTTTGGGCACAAGGCACTGGGCTTTTCTTGGTCCATGGGCACCAGGCAGAGAGGGTTGCCCAGGGACCCCCTGCCTCTCCAAGGCAGGAGAGCAGTAGGGGTACGTCGGCATCCTGTAGATCCCTCCTCCATCTCTTCCTCCCCCCCCCCCCCCCCCCCCTATGTATACTCCCCCTCCCCCCCCCCCTCCGGCCCAGGCTGGGGTAGCGGCTCTGGCTGATTCTGCAGGATAAGGAATCCCATTGCACTCCACCCCTTGCGGGCTGGGCTGGGGGAGGCCGCTTGGTGGGTCGATGCCCTGAAGGGCCTGGGCGCTCCCAGGCCTGGAGGACGTGGCGGTACCGCCCCCCGTTGTGGCAGGCCTCGGCCTCCCGCTCGCGGCACCACGGCCACGCTGCTGACATCTGCCCAAGCTGGGACCGACGCGCCCGCTCCAGTGTAATATGCCCAGAGCTAAATCCCCCCCTCGAGTCCGCTCCCCCCGCTCCAACGGCACCAGCCGAACTGCGGCTCAGTGCTAGGCGCCGCGGCGGAACCGCACGGCCTCAAACTCCTGCCTCGGGCCCACTGCCTCCAAAGGGACCCCAGGGACGGTCGCCCGAAGAGGCGGCGGAGGGCAGCCGTGAGCGGCACAGAGTTCTGCAGGATTGGGGAGCTAGCATGGTGCCCAGCCACCAGGGTCTAGCCTCTGCCAGCGGTCTGTGCACAGGGGGTGGGGCAGCGTGAACGGGCACAGGGAAGCAGACTGCTGCTGGGGCGCACCGGGGCAGCATGGCTTTGGGCAGAGCCATCGGCTCCTGGAGCACTAACCTTCCCTGTGTGCCCAACACGTGCCAGCGCCCCTCTCCCCACTCACACAGCCGGGGCCAGATACCCAGAGCTGCTGGGCACTGGCAACTCCCTGGACGTCAGTGCCCACCAAGCGTAGGCCCCTCTCTAGGCCTCTCCAGCTGAGTCTCCTAGGGGAAAGTCCCACAGAGGCGGGGGCCTTTGAAGCAGTGGCCCGGTTCTCATTGATGCCAGCCAGGCAGTAGAGGTTGGCATTGTCCTTGCTGCTGAGACACTGGCTATCTCGCGCCTCTCTGTCACGCGGTGGCCTCTGGCCCCGTCCCGCGTAAAATGCTCACCGGTGGCAACCGTCCCTTTGCAGATGACGACCCCGACAGCACCATGGACGACCGGGACAGCGATTACCGAAGCGAGACCAGTAATAGCATCCCGCCTCCGTACTACACCACGTCCCAGCCCAACGCCTCGGTCCACCAGTATCCCATGAGGCACCAGCAGCAGAGCTCCCGCGACTCGTACACGGACTCCGTGCAGAGCTACGAGATGGACTACTCGGATCAGCGGCCCATCAGGTAGAGTTGGGGAAGGCCGACGCCGGCCCTCGGACGGCCTGTGATATTGACCTGCTGCGCCGCAGACAGACGCTTGGTGGTCGGCGGCCCCAGACATCAGGTGGGAGAGGTTAGGCCAGGCTATGCTGCAGCAATCAGGGAGAGAGAGATGGATGGGAAGGGGGCTGTCTCAGAGGAGGAGAAAAAGCCGTGCCCTTGGGCAGATTAGCTATAGCTCTTGGCAAAGGCTGGACAGAGCTGGTATGCAGTGGTGCCCACCCTAGCATTTCTGTGCCGACCCCAGCCGCTTCCTCCAGAATCTTAGCTTTCATTCAAAATTAAAATCCAGGCTCTGTGGGGAAAGCCCCTGAGGCTGTGCAGGCTGCAGGCAGTTAGATCCTGCTGCCTGAGGAGAGGGGCCACCGGCTGCCTGCATTCCTCTCGCTGGGGGTTAACTCTGAAACCTAATGGTGGGTTCCAGCGGTGCCATGGTTAACTGTTCTGTGATAGTAGAAAGAGTGATTGTGGGTGGAGTTTTGGATTGTGGGTGGAGTTTGACTAACCAGTGCTTCCTCCCCATCTAATCCCTGGCTAGTGTTAGAACACCGAAGGGTAAAACCCTAATAAACATCGAGGAGATGAAGGTTGGGGGGATGCATCCGAGTCCCAGGGACAGTCCTCTCCATTCTGGAGACACCGAGGGCAGGGCTATAGCTGATCGGGATTTAGGTGCACGGGCAGGGCTGTGAGGGACAGACCAGGAGTGGAGTAGCTGAGGATGCTGCAGAGGCCTGGAAGCGTAGCCGGGCTGTCCGCATTGGCAGCGCTGTAGGGGGAAGTTCCCATGCCATCTGCCTTCCCTGCACCGATCTATCTGCTGGCACCACAGCCTCACTGCTCCTGAGCATTCAGCCTCAAGACCCTGCACTCCTACCCTCAGGGAGATCCCAGATTGGGGAATCTGCTCCAAGCCCTCCCCAAAATCCGACACTCCCTGGGGCATCGGGGGAACGGCCACAGGACCCCCAGGGCCATGGCTCCGTTGGTGTGAGGGCGGATGCCAGGGGGCGCGGCCCCGAAGAGAGGAGGGGGCGTGCTGCGCGGCCCTGCTGGGAGCTCATTGTCTGTTGTGGTGTCGTTGGTTCCCGGGTGACCTTTGCTGACCATGTTCCTCTCCTCCCCGGCAGACGCTACGATAGCGTCGATTCTGCCACAAACGGGCGCAGCGACGCTGAGTCCGCCTCCGAGTCGAGCAGGCGGACCAGCCGCCAGTTTTCCCTTGAGAGCAGGCGGTCCCTAGACCTATCGGATAGGTGGGTCTCTACCTTGTCTCTAGCCTTGTGCCTGACGCAGAGTGCTGTGGTTGGTCCTTGCCGCCCGGGTTAGGCCGATACCAGTCCCGGCAATGGCAGCCCCCATTGGCTGCCGGAATTACCCACCCCCCTCCCCATCCCCGGCCCCTCCTGGGTATCAGATTCCTCGGCCCCGGGGGGAAATGACAAGGCTCCTTTGCATGGGTTCCTCGAGGTGTCCAGTGTAAAGTGCATTGCACATGCATCCCAGCTGCAGCAAGAGATGCCTCTAGGGCCCCCGGCTCGGTGCTCCGGACCGGTTCTCTGAAGGGCTCTCACTGAGGCAGGGTTCCCTGGCCATCGGGCAGTTGATGCCAGTTGGGCAGGTTGGCATTGACCCTGCTGCTGAGACAGAACCAGTGCAGGGGGGTAGAAATACCTAAATGGGGCAGGACCGAGCCTGGCAGCTTCCTTCACCTGGCTGGGATTGGACTCAATTGGTCGGCCCACGCAGCCTTGGTCCTTCGGCCAGTCCCATTTCCACCACCCCAAAGGCGGGGTCGCCCGCCCCTCACTTGGGGTCCCTGTTGCCCCATCTAACTGGCTGCCCCAGCCATCTCCGGGGTGCGGTTTCCCCGCGCTCAGCGGGGTGGGAAGCCAGGCTCCGGATTTCAGCACACCCTCCACCAACACATGCCGAAGGCATGAGAGGAACGGGGAAGGGCAGGATCTCCTGCCTTCCTGCATGCTGGGTCTTCGGGATCCACCCGGCCCCTCCCTACGGGACAGAATTCACATGCAGGGCGTCAGCGCTGCCGCTGGCTCCCGCCCGGGTGGCCTGGGAATGATTTCAGCAGCGAGGGGCCAGGGTAGCTGCCTGGCGGGGGAGCACTAGGCCTCATGGGGTGGAAACGGACGAGCATGTGCAATGCATTTGAGGACACCTACCCTTGCCTGGGGAAACCTGACCCTGAGACCTGGGTGCGCTCGGGGGTTTCCAGGACTCACATGGGAGGGGCAACGCCTGTGCTTTGGAGCATTTTTCCTGTTCTTTCAATTCTCTCTTGAGGGGTGGGGTTTGGGTGCTGAGGAGCTCGGAGTTGGGAGGTCTTGCCTCTCTTCTCTGCCACAACCTGGCTGGGTCCCCTCTGTGATGGGTCCCAGCTCTGTGAGCTTGGATGACCTCCCCTGGTGCTTCGATCCCCAAGCCACCCACACTCTCCCAGGCCAGACAACCGGCCCCTCCAGCGGCTTCCTGCAGAACGCGGGGCTCAGCCAGAAGGGCACCCGTGCCAGTGTGTGCGTCCCCCTCCCACCCCCCCTCCACTGCCGGTGCCGGAGACGTGGTGTCGGCCTATCCCCAGGCGTGCCCCTGTACTATGTCTGCATGCGCTTACTGTGAGCCTCTCCGCTCAGAGGCACCGCGGTTGCTGTGGTGCTCGGAGAATCGCCCTGGTTTTCTCCCTCCTTGTGTCCAGTGGTTTGGTTTGTCAAAGACCCCCTTCTCCCCTAACCCCCTCCCTCTGACCCCTCCACCTTGCTCCCCCGGAGCCTCACCCCGACCGGATCCCTGAGCAGTGGGCTCGGCCTGTGGGGAGAGGCCCGAGGAGCGTGTCTGGGGTGGGCTGGCGGAGAAGCAGGGCAGTGGGGAGGTGAGCCGCAGAGGGAGAGGGGAAGGAAGGCCAGGAGAGAAGAGCTGTGGGGAGAAGGAAGAGTTGGGAATGGTGGGGGGGATTTCTGGGTGCGATGGAGGAGTGAGTGATGGGGAGAAGAGGGAATGGCTGGAAAGAGCACACGGGTGGGGATGTGGAGGGGCATGGGGTGGGTGCGGGGGGGCGGTGGGGGGAACCATGGGCGTGGGATATACCCGGCTGCCCGTGCAGCGCCGCTCCCAGGTGGGCACTGCATGTCTTGGCTAACAGGCACGTCTGCTCTTTCTGCCACCTGGGGGCTGCTGAGAGGATGGGCAAGGGGTCTCTGAGGTACCCCAGCCTAACTGGCCAACCTCTAATTCCCCATTAGCCTAGCCGTGAAGCCCAGGATCGGGGCCAGACCAGCGGTGTGGTACTGGCCTCCTCCGAAGCCCCCTGGGGCTGAGGAGCAGGAATGGAAAGTGGCAACGTTTCCCCCTCCCTGCCCCCGCTGCCGGCTCACCCACGTGCCCAAGCCGCGGGCGGGTACCAGGGCGCCCATCCTGGCACGCTTCCCCTCAGCTGCGCCGCCTGGCAGCAAGGCTCCGGCCGCCTGGGGAAGGGCATGAGAGCTGCCGTGGGATACAGGTGGCTGGACGGGGCAGGGGGAACCCGCTCGGACCCAAAGGCCCATTTTAATCCTCTTCTGTCCTTCTCTCCCCTCCACCCCACCCCCACCCGCCCCACGCAGCCCCACCGGGAGCAGCCGCTACGCCTCGTCCGGGGAGCTGAGCCAGGGCAGCTCCCAGCTGAGCGACGACTTCGACCCCGACAACGAGAGCCTGCGGGGCTCGGAGCTGGACGAGCGGGACGGGGACTCCTACCACTCCTGCCACAGCTCCGTCAGCTACCACGACGACTCGCCCCGCTGGGAGGAGGACTTCTACCCCGAGGAGGAGGACGAGGACTACAGCGAGAACGAGCAGGACTACCCCAAGGTGGAGGCCGAGGTGCCGCGGGACCAGGAGGCGGACGAGGCCAAGCCCCCGGAGCGCGAGCCCTACCCACAGCCGCCGGCGAAGCAACAAGTGCCCCTGCCGCAGGTGCCAGCACTGAAGCAGCAGCAGGAGAGGAAGGAAGAGAAGGCAGCGTATGTCCCGGAGGAAACTCCGGAGATCCCCCAGGAAAAGCCAGCAGCAGAGGAGCCCCCAGTCCCAGAGAGAGTGCCGGAGCCCCAAAAGCCAGCGGAGGGGTGAGGAGAGGGGGGGCTGGTGGAGGGAGGAAGGGCTCCCAGGTGGGTGGTGTTTTCTCCTGCAGGGTCTTTAGGGTGCTCCCCCACCCTGGGGCCAGGCAGCTGGGCTGAGCCGTGCAGTGACCGGTGCTGGCTAAGGGAGCTGGAACGTAGAGCCCGTGGCTC